AATCAGTAACTGTTATCAATGTTTTGTTTATTTCCTTTTCATAATCAATATTATTTGAGTCATCATTAGCAATAAATATAGTTGCATCTTCGACATACATTACGCATAGGTGGGTAATTATGTTTGGGAGCTCGTTAATATATAATAGGAATAAAGGGGGCCCCAATATGCTGCCTTGGGGTACACCCAGTATTACATTTTCAAATTCGGATTTAACTACCTCCACCATTTTTGTAGTTTCATTATATATCTCTATAACTGTTGCTTGCATTCTATTATTTAAATAATTTTCTATTAATTTAAGTGCTAGTCCTCTTATTCCTATGCCTTCTAATTTATTTAACAGAATATCATATTTTACACAGTCAAATGCTTTTGACATATCAATGAAAAGAGCAGCACATTGGTTTTTTTCATTGATTTTATGCCAAATGTTATTAAATAATTTATATATTGCCAGAGATGTAGTTTTATTCTTTTGAAATCCGTATTGGTTTACATTTAAAATATTATTAATTTCCAAAAATTTTGTGATTCTAATATATATTACTTTTTCAAATATTTTCGAAAAACTTGGTAACAGTGCAATTGGTCTATAGTTATTTATGTCGTGCTGCGATCCTTTTTTATATAGTGGTTTTATGAGAGCTTTTTTTAAATTATTAGGAAATTCTCCCGTTTCCAACATTACGTTTATGATATGTACAAGCGGGTCAGCAATAAAAGGTATGCTTTCTTTGATTACTTTAATGGGTATATTATCATATCCGTAGCTGGGTTTTTTTTTAATTTTTTAACTATATTTATTATTTCACATTTATCTACTGGATAAAGGAACATACTTTTCGAGTTAGAACTGTGTTGTGGTTTATAGTTGTTTGATATTAATGTGTTACTGTTTTGGTTAATATAGTAATGGTTGAAAGTACTTGCTAGTTTTACAGGTGACTTTATGACATTTTCGTTTTGCACTATGTAGTCTATTGTAGGTTGAAGGATATTTGTACTTTGGGTTTGTCGTTTAATTAATGCCCATGTGGCTTTAGTTTTGTTTGTACTAGATGAGATAAATTTGGCATTAGAAATTCTTTTAGACTCTTTTATTACTCGCTTTAGGATTTTACAGCAGTGAACGTATTTAATTTTTTGTTCCTGCGAGCCACTGTATTTTTTAGTCGTTTTAGCTCAGATGGTTAGCGCTCGCTGTAAGCTTCACAGTACTCGAGCAACCCGGGTTCGATCCCCGCCGGCACCAATGAAATTGTTAATTGCAATTTTAAGTGCTGATTTACCACGTGCTCTGCGGTGAAAGAAAACATCGTGAGGAAACCTGCATGTCTGGGAAATGAAAAAAAAAATATTTTGAAGCCATGTGAAGTTCGCCAACACGCATTAGGGCAGCGCGGCGGACATTTCCTTGCCCTAAAACCCTCTCAGAAATGAGAGGAGGCCTGTGCCCAGCAGTGGGACGTAAATAGGTTGCAACTTTACTTTACTTTATACCACGACTACAACAAAAAGCAAAACGATGTCACCGTAAGGCAGAGTATATACATCCCTACCTTTACTATATAAGTTAAATCGGTCAGGAAGTACCCCGCATGCATATCTACGTGGACACATATGAAATCAGTCATGCTACAATAGTCCTATCTCATTAGGTATTTCTCCATCCTTAAGATGCGTACGATTTAAAAAAATACCGAAGGTTTGTTTAAAACTTCTCCTTCATCAACCCGCAAAAGTCCACAGCTGGACGTGAGCCTCTACCAGCCAGGAGGAGGGAGCCTCTTGCAGGGAAGAATTAGTCGTCACGCTTTGCAGCCGTAATGATGATCGCAGAAACAGACCTCTCGCACCTTTGACGCTGCTGCCCATCGCTAGCCGCAGAATACCCAGATTCTACGTCTGACGTAAACTAGGTGGTTATACATACCACCATCTATCGGAATCATTGATTTTTTGGCATTTCCCGTTGTCGGCTTTTGCACATTCCTTTATGGCTGATATTGTCCAATGAGTTACACTTCGGATGTTTTTATTAATTTAACCAAAGAGATGAAAGCGCACACTTCCTATTTACTTCTTTTTAACTGAGTTCAAAAAGAAGGAGGAGTTACTCAATTCGACTGGTTTTTTTATATGTGGTTACCTCAGAACTTTTCTCTAGTTGAACCGATTTTGATGATTCTTTTTTTATTTGAAAACTGGTGCTTCCCATGTGGTCCCATATAAATTTGATCAAGATCAAGATTTAATTGACTTCGTCTACATTGATGATGTTCTCATTTTATTTAAATTGTTGTCGATTGTACAACATTTTTAATTTTACCACTTGTGTATAGTAAATTTCAAAATTAAGTTTTAATTAGTGTTTAATTTATCATACCAAAACCATTTAGTCCAGTTGAACTCAACTGGTTGAGAAAATTTTAAGTGGATGTGAACATTAAACAAGTTGAGCACTCCTGGTCTTGAGGAAACATTGGCCCATTTTTCGAAAATGAGAGAGAAGTTGCCATAACAGTGCGAGTTGAAAATTATTGTCGGATGCTTAGGTACTTAGTAGCTCTTCAAGAAATTCATGGTCACAATTCTAGAACCTAGTTTTACAAGGATGGGGCCAACTGCCATACTGCTTTCCATACTCAAATGATATTTTGAAATAGATAATAGTTTAATAGTGTTCATATTTCGATGATATTTTGAAAGAGATGTATGCTGAAAAACTCATCTCACAAAATATTAATTGAGACATTCAGTGGCCCTCTGGAGCCCGGATCTTCTCTGGGCAATTATTTTGTATGAGACTACTTAGAATCGAGAGTTTCTGAAGACAATCCAACAAATGCTTTTTTTTGCTTTTTGTAATTAAAAACGTTACCCCCACACTAGGATTTTCTCCTGAGTCGTGGAGGCAGTTTACAAACATAAATTGCACAAGGACAAACATCCAGACCCGAAACAATTATTTGTTGGCCATACAAATACTTGTTCCGTGCGGGATTCGAACCCGCGGCCACCAGCGCAACAACTGATTGCTAAGCCACTGCGCCACGGAGCCGTCTATAAATGTAGATTAGTTACAAGGTCACTCAATAAATTTTGAGAAGCTCGAAATTTAAAAATAGAACCCCATAAGCCAACTGCTCAATATTAAAAAAAAAACAAAGTAATATTAATTTTCCTGCAACGCTTCCCGCACTTTTCATTCAAAACGATGGATCTTAACCGTGAACATTTGCGCGCTATGATATATTATGATTTTAAATTTGGTTTAACCGAACAATTAAGTTTACAACGGTTACAATCAGCATTAGGGGACTTAGCTCCATCACATGCAACAATTTTTAGGTGGTTTGCTGAATTCAAAAGGGGTAAAATTAATCTTAAAGGTGACCAAAGAACCGGGGCCCCGCAAACAGCAGTAGCGGCTGAAAATGTATGGACTACTGAAATGTTGGTGCGAGAAGACCCACGAATCACATATACGGACATTGAAAAATTTGTAGGCATTAGTTCGGGGAGCATTCATACCATCCTAGCATCCTACATCAACATCTTGGAGTGAGGAAGCTTTGTTGTCGATGGATCTCTCGTTTGCTCTCCGAAAGCGAAAAACAGACTCGTGTGGATTGGTGCCATGAAATGCGTCTACGTTTTGAAAACGGGGCATCTAGGCGTGTTTCAGAAATCGTTACTGGTGACGAGACATGGACCTCGCAACGTCGGCAAAAAATAGTGGCTAGTTTTTTTTCGCGGAGCGGGCATTTGTCGACGTTAATGCTGGAAAATTGTAGGTCAGATAACTCTGAATAGTATACTACATTTGCATTACCCAAAGCTTTTCAAGTGCGGGAGAGAAGACCAAACACCAGGCTTCGGGAAATCATGCTGCATCACGATAACGCCTCTCACATACTCCCTCAGAACAAAAGCATTTATTGAGGAGCCTGATGTTGAAACTCTAAGTCACCCACCCTACAGCCCTGACTTAGCTCCTTGTGATTTCTTTTTGTTCCCAAGAGTCAAAGAAAACATAAAAGGCAAGTTTTTTTCAAGCGCCCAAAATGCCGGGGCTGCCTACAAAGAAGCGATTTTCGACCTGTCAGATCAAGACAGGCAAGTGTTTTCAGAGTTGGTTTAGGCGAATGGAACTTTGTATAGAGCATGACGGAGAATATTTTGAAAAGATGTAAAATAAATATTAATAGTATCTAGAACACTTTTTGTATATCTCAAAACTTATTGAGTGACCTACGTAAGGTTAACAAACAATTACACAGTCCACCTGAAGGTAAATGGGTGCTGTAACCCATAGACATCTATATCCACCCTTGATTAAAAATCAAAATTCATTAAAATGTCCTGAGTAAGTACTTCTGCCAATCATATGTTCTTTGAGTGTAAAAACCCTTCTTTCTATGATATCCTTCCAAATTACGTCCCGCATCCAGTAAATTTCCAAAATTTGCTGTCCCTAGTGTATACTCCCTTTGTAAATATTTTGTGTGATTTTATTCATACTAATAATATTAAACTAGAATTACTAATCAATTTTGGTGATGGTAAAAAATGATGTCTTTTGTTGTAGATTGTGAATTACTCATAAAATTGATAACTCTTAATATAATAATTATTTACTTGTCACTCCCAAGACTAACTTGACACTGGCAGAATTCTATCAAGAGAAGCCATCATTTAAAAGAGATGTAATGCCATTGATTTTTGTTTTAATCTAATATAAATAAATGAATACATCAAACTACACAGTCATAATATTATTATTTATTTATCTAATATGAAACATGAACAAAATTGAAATAATATTTTAAATTGTCTTTATCAAAATTACATATAAATATTTGATTTTAACCACCATTTCAAAATGTTGATTTCTAAAGTTGCTCATAATTAGAAGAGGATAGGAATTTTCTTTAGTTTATCTTCTTTTTTTTAACTACCCTCATTCTTTAAACCTGTTATAATGACATAATTTTTTATATATCCTCTTTTGGTATTTGAGAATCCTCAACAGTTTTAGATGAAGGTATGTACACTTTGAATGAATATTCAGTCCGAGGGAATGATCCAGGATTAATCACTTGGCAATTCTGATAGGCCCTTGTATATGGTTGAAAATGGTCTGCAACAACAACTAAATCAGGCATAGGATATAAACTTAATGCATCAGCGTGTTTCCAATAAACAGGTTGGATTGCTAATGATAACGGTGATAATGTACATTGACTTAAAAGCGTCTTCGTTAAGTGATCGGGAATATCACCCGTATCTGGAAAATGGATAGAATTCCTACACATTTTTGTTACCAAGTCCTGTCTGAGTACAATAATTTCCTGTGTACAATATTGAATCCTGCATGGATTGGTTGTAAAGACCACAGAATCACCCAATTTTTCTCTAATGTCCTTGGTAACAGAGTTCGGAATTGCTGGTCTTGGTAATATATTTGCCGCAGCTGGATCACCACGGCCTGGTATGAAAATAAATTTACAAGTTTCTCGGAGTTTTGTAAATTGAAAAATAATGTCGCCTAAATGTGTCAAGGCAGCTTTTAGCTGTGTGCTATGTTCATAACCATAAGGACATGATAGAAATTCACCCATGAACACTATTGCAATTGGTGGAAATTCATTATATCCATTAAAAAGAGCTTTTAACTTTGTTATAACTTTCAAGTTGTCAAACCAAACATCTGAGAGAAACACGATCATGCCATCCTCATTTTCCTGCTCAATCTTTAGAAGATTTTGAGAGTTTTTCAGTAAAGTTTTAGATTTACCACCAAATGTGTTTAAGCTGCCAAAGTATGGTAGTGAAGTTGCCCTACTCTCAGATGGTGGCAGAACAAGACCCATAACATATAGAACCTTGTCATCATAATAACCTTCAGCGAGTACAAAACTGTTTTCAGTGAACAATCCTGAATGATATCTTGTTTGACTCATATCTAATAGTACACTTCCAGTTGGATCTTCCAAGTAAAATTTACCTTCAGTGAGTTGTGTGAGAAGGCCCAGCACAATAACCTCATTTATTCTACTTGATGAACTGAGCAGAACCTCTATTGTACGTAACTGAAACCGATTTTCACTTTCCATTGAAGGTAATGTTTCCTTTGCAAACAACTTATTCCGAGCAGTCCTCTGCCAGATCACTGTATATCTGTCAACTAACATCTGTGCTCTCCATTTCGGTTCAGGATATAAATTGTTTCTTGCAGTCACATCTTTCACAAATTTCTTTCTTTCATTATCATAACACACCTTTGGTATATTAAATGCATCAATAACATTTAGTATTGATTCAGTTTCTTCTAATCCCAACGATGAACACTCTCTAAAAGCAACTTCCAAGTGTTGTTTTTCTAATACAGGCTCTGAAAGGCATTGATGGAGAAGATGAGCTGTAAGTTTGTCGATCATTTTCTGTCGCTCCTGGTGTGATAGAGCAGCAAGCTGTTCGGCAACAAAAGTACATGCTTCTCGACGAATTGTGAAACCACTAAGTTTAAATGCATTGTTAACCTCAACACGTATTTGCTGTAAATCACCCATGGCTTTTATTGAAAACTGAAAGACTATAACATTTAAAGACGATTTCCACTGCAATACATTGAATAAATACAATGTTAAAACTAGTACTTAAGTATAGTATATAATTTTAAAGTGTAGTCAATTAAAACCAACACTTGAATTGTACAAGCCAAAGAAAAGAGTATTTAAATATAATAAGAAAAGAGTATTTAAATTTTAGTATATTAAGAGTATTTAAATCACTAAGTTTGTTAGATAGTAATTAGAACGAACTTGAAACTTTTTATATCGTGTTATTATTATTTATTTTTCATTTGGATTTATTTGGACCGCCAATTCCCTGCTTGACATTGACATGTTGACCATAGAGATTAAATATTTTTTGTAACTTGTTTTAAGTCTCTGGGTAGCTCTAGCCTTTTTGGGAATAAATAAATAAAATAGTAAATAACATAGATAAATTTTCAAGTAACGATATACAATTTGCCACAGGCTATAAAGAGGAAGAGGATACAATAAAGGCAGGCAAAGACCATACAGCTTAATCTTTTTCAATTCACAATATACTGATGTGACATCAAACTGCGAAGTTCCTATGAGATTTTGATGACACACTACTCCAGCGGTTAGTTGATGACGGTGTAATCTCTAAAACAAATGTAGTCTAATTCTCTTCTAATTAATGAAATATAAAGACCCCGTGAAGTGGCGGAAAAGAATACTCACTACCCCATATACATACATACTCCCGTGGGTGTCGTAAAAGGCGACAGAGGGAAACTGAGGCAGAAGATGGGCCAGCAGCATCTTTCTAATAACAGCAAAAAGCAAAAAAAAAACTGCGGTTGCTAACCCGGTCGCCAAGCATGGCAACTATGGCAATAAACCCCCCATGAGCAATGTCATTGATAAACGGCACCAGTCCCCGGCGGCCCCGCTATTCCTGGCTACGGTGGCGATTATGGTAACGGTGGGGCAGGGGGTGCTAAGAATCTCCGGTGGAGGTGTGGTTGCCCCCTACGACGACTCGACCTTGCAACTTATAACGCACGCACCCTGAGGACTGACGAGAAGATCCTGGAGCTGGAATATTATTGGCTTATCCGAAGTCCGAAGAGAGGGGGAGGACATGGTAATCCTCGAATCCCATGGAGGTATCGGATTTATCGTCCGCCACCAGCACCATCCATAATACAAATAAAGCGTCCATCAGCATAAATACATAAACGCTGAATATGTAGTAATTTAAGTAGACTGTAAGCATAGGATTAAGGATTGTAAAAGACAATGGACAGAATAAATTCACATCTCTCTCTGTGAACACATAGTTTGTATTTAGTTTTAAGTCGTAGTTTGTATTTAGTTTCAAAGCTCTCGGCAGCTCCCGCAACTTGACTGGCGCACCCGATAGGATCACCGGAAAAGCTGTACCACCGTTCGTGAATATCGCGTATACAATTTTGCTCATTTTCACGCATCGCGGACGATCCATATAGCGTGGTGATCCAGCGAACCAAAACAAATTCGTCGAGAATAAGGAGCCGTGAAGCTGATGATGGGCACTGCAGGCTAGCGAGTACGACTCTTTACCTCCTTCATATCCCTTAGTAAACTTGGAATTACGAGTAGACATTGTCCATTTTGATTGTTATTTGGGTTTCAAATAGGTACTAATCTTGCGTAAATTTTATAAAGTATTAAGTGCAATAAATAACTATTACTTAAATAAAAATTAAAATAATATTAATTTAATTGTAAGACGTACATAATATTAAGTCCCATATTACTCAATAAAGTTATAGAGTATATTATATTAAGTATTATACATTATATTAAGTTCTTATTGTATCTACATGTGGTTGTTAATTTAAAGATTCCACGACACGTTAATACATAATAGATTACTACTTATACTCGAATTTTCTTTACCATATTTGTGAAACTGGTAGAGTTATAATAAATATTTTATTTTATTTTTTTATTTTGTGTAGAACCAGTGAATAAATTGTTAAAAATGTCGGAAATGAAACTTATCCCTCACGAATTAACTAAAATAATACCAACATTTAGCGGCGATAAACGCCAGTTAAATTTATTTTTGCGTAAATGTGAATATATAATAAGTAAGTTTAAATCATCCGATGTGCAAAATGAATATATAATGCAAATCATTAGTAGTCGTCTTACGGACGAGGCTGCGTCGCTTATCAGGGAAGATATAGAGACGTGGACCGAAATCAAGATATTGTTTTAACTCACTTCGGCGACCCACGTAGCGAGGAATGTTTAGCCATTGAATTAGAAACTTTAAAGAAACACCAAAATAAAAATTATACAGATTTTTGTGGTCGTATACAATCCGTTAAATCAGTGCTATTATCGAAGGTTAATCAAATTGGTGATAAAAACTTAAAAATACGTAAAACTATTATTTATAATAACACCGCTCTGCAGGTTTTCTTATAAGTATAATTTATCCGAAAATATGGTGCTCATTGTTAGGTTGAAAACACCCACTACACTAGAAGAAGCACTAAGTATAGTTCTAGAAGAAGTAAACTTCTATGACCAATATCAGATGCGTAGTAAAATGTTACAGTCTAGCCATACGTCTAAGCCACAGTCTAGTAGTACACGAGTGCAACAACCATCGTTTAAGATCGCAATGCCAATACAGCCTACAGGTTTTAGACCAACGTTAGTACAAAACCAACCCCCTAGGAAGAATTTTGGAACACCATCTCAATTTAAGTTTGGCATTCCCAATAGTAGACAAATGAGGATCCCGTTACCACAAAATAAGCCTCAACAGCAAATGAGTTTCCCTAAGCAATATCACCCACCTCAGTTTGGATACCGACCTAACTTTGGATACCGACCAAACTTTGGATTTAGACCACCAGGCTATAGCCCCATGCAATCCATGTTACCACAACAGTTTGGTAATTCTCAGCGTTTTAATTATCCTAATAATAATAATGTGCATAATAAGCCGGTCTCTAATGATACGGATGTTTATATGAGAACTGCCCCTCCAAAGCCTTTTCAACCAGGTTTCGGCCTAAAGGAATTAGAAATTTGTCCATCATACTATCCCTACGAATTTCCTCAAAATTACATGTATAAGGAAACATACGACAATTATTATGAAGATGAATCCATACAAGAAAATTCTATAATAGATACCGACGAAAACAATGACTCAGAGGATAATAAGATGTCTACACAGACAGAAAATTTTCAAGTAAGGACCTCCGAAAACCACCTGAAATAATAGAATTGAATTGCGACATAAATCTAAAACTACCATACATATATATACCGGAAACAGATGCTAATTTTATGATAGACACAGGAAGCACCCGTTCTTTTATAAGCCCCGATAAAACACATCAATACTACCGTAATTATATAACAAATGAACCCTTTAAAGTTGTAAGCACTCATGCATCTAGCAAACACAATCAGGTAATTAAAATTCCACTATTTTCTATATTTCAAAGTAATGACGAACATAAATATTATCTCTATAATGTCGATTCACGTTATGATGGGTTAATTGGGAATGATTTATTAAAGCAGTTGGAAGCTGTAATAGATTTATAGAAACAAGTACTTACCATAAATTCTTCTAGAATACCTATAATACACAATAGCTTAGAATATGCTGTAATACTTCCACCTTGTTCTGAAGTTAGAGCAAAATTAACTGCTAACATGTTTTATGGCGAAGGAATATTAAATTATACCCGATTCTGTGATGGAGTGCGCATGCCTTCTGCATTGGTAAAATGTGAGAATGGCTATGCCACTACAATTATACAATATACGTAAATGAATTCCAAAATATGAACACACGAGTAAATTATTCAAGTAACTTAGCTGTAGAAAAGTTTAAACAACTCATACCTTCGATACGTTTCAAGCGCGGTCTTATTAATCCATTAGGTTCTGTTATCAAAGGGCTTACAGGAAACTTAGACCATAATGATGCAGTACAATACGACAATCTCGTAACACAATTAAAGGCCCAGCAAACGCACACTAATAATAAAATAACAGTAATCTCGGAGATGCTTGACTCTCTTATAAATAGTACTGGATCTCTACAGGAAAATACGAAAATTGTAAATGAACGAATGAAACGTATAGAAAGAATTGTAAAATATATAATTACTAAAGACGATAACAGCATATACTCCACATATGTTTTAAGTATGTTTAACATGTTTGTCAATAATTTTAGAACTATTGTGCCGGACGGGCGTAACTCTCCGGAGTAAATGTTGTCGAAGATACTCCGCGAGCCGCTCACGTCCTACACCTATAGGTTCCGGTGGATACTTTCACTACCGCCTTTGTGTATGCTGTTGGAGAACTGTGGACTGAGGTTCAGAATTAAAAATGCACGATTTATAAATTAAATAGCAAGGGAGTGGCCAGCGGTTCGACTGATTAATTAGTTGCAAAATATTATAACTTATTTATTTATTTAACACTGTTTTTCAACTATGGTTGTTCACTATATATTTCAAAACACAGATTTAATTAAACACACAGTAATGTTAAAATTTCTATTGGTTTTTTAAAATTTCTATTCGTATTTTCAAAATATCTGTTGGTAATATCAAATTTCTATTGGCAGTAACAAGTTTCTATTGGTATTTTCTACTATTTCTATTGGTAATTTTGAATATCTATTGGAAGTAACAAATTTCTATTGGTAGTATCAAAAATTTCTATTGGTAGCAGCTGGTTTTCTAACACTACTGACTAGCAGCTATTAATCAACTAAAATTAGTTGAATTTAACACTTTTGTAACTGCGAATATCAGTTACCACTTTTTCCGTCTAGCTAACACTTTTCACTATATGTAACTGCGAATATCAGTTACCACTTTATTCGGCTAGCTAACACTTTTTCACTATATGTAACTGCGAATATCAGTTACCACTCTTTTCAGCTAGCTAACACTATTTTACTATATGCAACTGAGAATTTTCAGTTGCCACTTTTTCCG